CAGGGCTATTCAATTGGCGGACCGCGGGCCAAATCCGGCCCCGGGGTGATATTTACTGGCCCTTTGAGTATAATGTTAAAAGTAATCTACTTTTTGTTTTGGGGCCAGAGTGCCTTTATTCCAGAGAAGGTGTTACATTGAGAGATAGAGGGGAAGACATTGCCTGAAAACTTCAGCGGGCTCGGGTTTCGAACCCACCTGCTAGCTACTGTAGTGACAAACTGTCATTGATTGCATCTCTGCGTGAATGATTAGATCATTTCACCTAAATTAAATCAAATGAAATGATGTTGTTGAATTAGCTTCACATGTCGGCCTACTGAGTTCTGAACTTGCCATTTAGATCTCTAAAGGCCTTGGGGCTATTTTGTTTGATTTAATTAAACACAATATATGCACTCCACTGTATCTGAAGCCCTTAATAGGATTGCTCATATTTCAAGCCATCTTTTTCCCGGCCCCTTGCTTTGGATCATCTTCATCAACCGGCCCCATTCCAAACTACTTGAATAGCCCTGCTGTAGATAGTCTGGATTTGGGACATACCTATAAAAACATCTTACATTACATGATTCGTGTAAATGTTAAGACTCACCTCGCTCAGGTTGATCTCAATGACCTGATCGTATTCACAGCCGTTATCTGGAACCAAGTCTTCTTTGAACTGATCGGCCAACACAGCGATCTCTGAGAGGGAATGAAGAAGGAGGACAGGAAGCTGTTGGTAAAACACGTTTCATAAATACTAAACTGAGACCGACGGAAAGAGACTGACCTCCACGGCCGGTTTTCTCCATGTACGTCTTCATGCGGTGGTTGTAGGGGAAAACGGACGTGGTGGCTCCGATCTCAGCGCCCATGTTACAGATTGTGGCCATTCCTGTAAAAAACAGTGTTCTTTTTAGCCTACGAGTAAAATAAACTAAAGTTGAAGCAACTCATATTTTATTCCAGCAAGGAATGGGTGAATGTTAGTTGATACGCCCGTGTTGATAGTTAAGTTAATCAAATATATCATACAATATATATTTTTCACCGTGATTATTTTTGCTGAAATTTATATTGCCTGTTGGGTTTAAATGCATGTTTGTTTAGAAATATTGTCACCAACATTTTAGCCAACATGAAGACAGAATGAAAATGTGATCCCGGCAGAAATCAATAAATAACAGACTCTGACAAAAAGAAAAAGATCATGAATTATTAAATACCTTAAACAATACTTATGTAATTGATCTGAATTATTTCTGAGAAAATGTATCGTCTAATGAAAGTAGTGATTGTGCCAGGCCTAGTCGTTGAAGCGGTCACTGTTCTCCCTATTATTTTTAGTACTTGTAATGAATGTGATGTTGACCTGTGCAGGAGATGGAGTCCACTCCAGGCCCGTGATACTCCACGATGGCTCCGGTGCCGCCCTTCACAGTCAGGATGCCGGCCACCTTCAGGATCACGTCCTTCGGTGAGGTCCATCCAGACAAACTTCCCGTCAGCTTCACTCCAATCACCTGAAGGGAAAAATACGCACAGGTTTAAACAAATAGAAAAAAACAAAACAGACTTTAGTGACTGAAAACAGGGTTGAGAGTGCTAATTAAATACAAATAATTATAGGGAGATTTTGAACACTCTCCACCGTGAGAGACTGCTTGCTACATCAAGAGGGAATGACGGGCTATTTATGAGGATCTGGTCACCTTTTCTGGATTATTTGAGTACTGACCTGAAAGCTTTACTTCTCGGGGGTGGGGGGACTTTTTTG